CTAGGTTACTACTTCAACTCAAAATTTTTCTATTTGACACCTGAACATTCCCACAAGATTATGGAAGGGGTCAGATACATTATTACCAGATTGGAAAGAAGCCATTGAAACCAAGTAGCAATAATACAAGAGGTATTATTTAATATTTGGATAAGAACTTAATTTTATATTTGTGAGGAATAATGCACTAAAACGAAATATTTTGTTTTAGCTTGCTATATATAGGGATGCTATAGGATCCTTCAGAACTAGACTTGCCAAGAATTCTTGAACTAAGATGGATCCAAGTTATCCCCTAACTAATATTTTGTTCATTCATATATTTAATCTTATGAATTGTTCTTGCCCTTACAAAGCTTTTTGCATTTTAATCCAGCTGAATGTTGGGAGATATATGGTAGTGATGCACCTCACCTAAAGAGGATAGCAATCAAAGTGCTCTCCTAGACATGTTCTGCTACTAGCTGTGAGTGAAAGTAAAGTACGTTCCAATGGTTGCACACTACTATGAGGAATCGACTCGCTTCGGAGAAGCTTCATAATACGTTCATTACAATTTAAACCTCCGAGAGCGACAAATAAGAAAGAAGCTTGAAGGCTATGGGCCGATAGACTTGGACAAAATATTTGTCACAAACACAGCAGAACAATGGGTAGTAGAAGAAGAGGAGCCAATGTTGCACAAGAGAGCGTTCCTTGAGACTATCAATGAGGAAGATTTGAAGAAGGTGATGAGCAGCATGAAAGAGGAAGCAGCCCACCAACATATCCACAATTCGTCGGAGATATCAGTGATATTGCACCTAATGAGGGAAAGTGGAAAGGGGGTCTAAGGGAAAATGAGAGAGATGATTTTGAGGCCACTCAATCCCAGTCAAATTATTCACATATCGAGTCCCAACAACAAGAGGGTAGGGATGAGCACGATAATGTAGTTGAGCAAGAAGGATGGACAAGCTTCGGGGATTTTGGATTATGACCACAACAAAACACTAACACTCAGGGATTTGGGTATAGTCAGGTGCCCACTAATTTAGATGATTCGTTTTTAGATCGAGTTAATGAATTGTCTCGCGAATTCAATCAATGGCACCAGCGTGATCAAGATGAAGAACGACGTCGTCTGTCATTTTATTTTTAGATCGTAAGTTACGAATTGTATGCTTTATTGTAGTCCATGTAAGATGATATACTTAATCCATGATAATTCTATGTTTATCCTTTTGTGTGATGTAAATTAAATGGTAAATAGTAGTTTATGCAAGGAAAGAACATATCAATATTCGCATATTCATGCAAAGAAATGAAATTTCTTAATGGAGTACCCTTATTTCTTATTGAATTCTTAATAAACAACATTTATAATGAATTTTAATAATTTTTTCGGATTTTTTTTAAGGTTTAATCCGACCGATTCAGCCTATTCCCGATTCGGATCGCCCCGATCCGGATCGCCGATCCGCCAATCCACCCATCCGAATGGGTTTTTGAGATGCCCAATCCGTGTCACCAATCCGCTTTTAAAACCACTGAAAAAAACATAAACACTCATGAGCGAATTTCTACAATATTTTGCTCATGGCTCATCATCATCCAAATTCGATCATACGGTCACGATTGTGTGATAGTGTTTGTATTTTAATAATTTTTCTACAAATCATATTGACTAACTTACCACAGACAAATGGGTGTTCAACTCTTCATTACTATAAGAAGGGATTGACTCTAAATTGGACTGGGATTTTGGGCTTCAAGACCTAATCAACAAGTAGAGCTTCCTGAACTTACCACAGACAGATGGGTCTTCACTCCAAGCATTCTTCTGAAGTTTTCTTGCGGAGCCCGATTAGAAATGTTTCTGCCAAGTAGAGTGAAAGGTTCAATGTGTTAAAGTCATTAGAAGCAAATGGCAATTAACTTCAAATAGAAACTATGAAAGAATGAACTATTTTATGAAAAGATGTTTGCAGATAAAAAGTTTCTAATAAGTTACATATGTAATTAATTATTGACATTTATCTATCCAATAGTAAAGATCTTTTACCCTCATTTAACAGCACAAAATCACTTGCATAAAAGAATATAAAGACTATAAAAAAGCTCCTTTGTTAATAAAAAATCATTATCAACAAATAGCCTCCAAGCCTAGGTGATCAAGTGGTGGGGTGGCACATCATGACGTCCAAAGTTCCATTCCTACCAAGGATTAAAAATATAACAGCTTTCCTTGCCTATGTGTGATTGACATCGTGAGCTAAGACGAAACAACCTAAATTTTGAAGCTTTATAGTCTTCAACTCAAGACTATGGCTAATCTTTTTTAGGTACCATATTCCAACTTGTTATTATAGTTAAAAATGATAAGTTATATCTTTCTACATGAAAGTTGAAATATAAGAAAATTTCTCTTCCTATGAATGCAGATGATTTTACTCTGTTAACACCATCACCACTAGAGAGGGCTAAAACTATCATGGTTCAAAATAACAGGTGTAAATGGAAAAAATGCCCGCTATCATGGTAACACTCACCACCACTAACATGATTTAACTAATAACAACAAGGGGACATGGATAAAACGTCTGTTGACTGAAAACAACTAGCATTTTACTCAATGACAGCCATTACATAATGGTCTCTGGGCTGCTATTATAGATTGATTTTAAAAAAAAAAAAAATTAAACTAGAGAGTGTTTTCTTTGCAATGCAAGCAGGATAGCACAAGCTGCCCTTTTATTTCTAAATTTTTTCAAATTAACTGGGCAAGAAAAAGGGAAATGGCTAGCATTTTCAAAATCATGGCCTAGAAACACCCATTTTTTCAAAATAATGCCATTTTTATTAAGAATTAAATAAAATTGTATTCAATACCAGTTATTTCCATTTTTTATTATTTGTAGTTTTTGCCTTTTCCTTTTTTAGCCTTTTCCTTGCAATTTCCCACTATAATGTATGATAACAATTACATAAAAATGACAGCCCCTTTTTATGCCTTGAAAGCTATATCAGTTTCAATGTGTTGCATCTAAGGATTAAGAGCAAAATGGCCCAAAAAAATTTAACATAGAAAATAATAGTTTATTGGCCAAAGAGGGCCTATTTAGACTCCTCACAAAATCAGATCACTTCAGACCAAGAAGGGAAAGCATGCAGAATAACTCACTGAAGAATCTGGCAATTCTGCCTGTGTGACCTCAAGTTAAATTTAGACCCTCAGGAAAAGGTGGGCCACTACGAGTGGCTCATGAGATATTAAGTTTCTCAGGATTTCTCATTAGCTCATGGGATATTTAAGTTTCTCACGATTTCTCATTATGAATGACTCATTTAAGGTCAGGATCACTGCCCTCTTTATTGGACATTGCAATCTTCATCTACGCTAATCATGCAAAATGAATCACTCGATACCATTAGATGGGACTGAAATACTCACATTATCCATGTGTTATTAGTCTAAGGAGGCTTAGATCTTTGTCAAACACTGAACTCCTCCTTTAACCATGCACCTTGGTTGTGGAGCATGGGAATTAGTCTGTTAGCTAGATCAATTGTTAAAGAGCAATACATTCGCTTGTAGATTACAGGACTTGACTGCAATTCAAATTATGTGCATCTTTTAAATATTCAATGCAACTTGCTATGTTTTTCCAAACCACTTAGTTGCTCACTCCCAACAAATAAACAACTATGACAACTATGAGAACCATACTTGGCTATAATTTGACACAGGGAGGAGGTAAAAAGAATACATAAATAGCTTCAAATTACATCTTTTAAATAGTCAACGTAACTTGACATATGTTTTTCCAAACCACCTAAGTGCTCACTCCTATAAAATAAGCAAATATGAAATAACTATGAGAACTCTACATAGATATTACTTGATGTAGGCAGGTGGAAAAAACAAAAAACAAAAAACAAAAAAAAGAGCAATGAAAGATCAAATAGTCTGCAAGGAAGCCATCCTAAAAGTTCAGAGAATTTAACCTCTATCAAGGTATGCAAGGGAGTCTACCCCAAGAGATCTTTTCATAAGACCCAAAACCAATTATTCTCTCTCTCTTCACAAAAGTAGACATATTTATAACATAAACCCTTAAGATTTCAACTTGCCTAATAAGAAATCCTAATTATTAATAAATATTAACCCTTGATCTTGCCCAACATTAGCCATGAACAAAATACCCCTAAACCTCTAAACAAAAGACGCAAACAACCCAAAGATCCCTACAAATAAAAAGATCAAAACTCAGCCCACTTTTAGTTTTATAAATACCCAAAAGTAAAACCAATTACATCATGATTGTCTATGGTAAGATACATAATCACTATCAATATGAATTTAAATAAAGGGTTGTGTTAGGGTACTCATACATATAAGTATTTTTTTAATGTACTCAAGATTTTTGGACACCCATTGCCCCTAGTTTTGTAATACAAATTACTTTAATAGGGACATTTTTTCGTCATTAAGAGGGGTAGGATATATATTTCTAGAAGAAACTAATGATATTTTACTAGTTGTTAAGAATCGTGCATTGCTCCATGTGGTGATGTCACACCTCATCTAGACGTTCTCTTCCTCCACTATAGTTAATAAATGCTTCTCTTTCTAACAAGGATTTCTACTTGACCTCTGATTAATTACATAAAATACCCCTAGATAAAGAAGTTACTACATAGTAGCGTAAGGGTATCAAGTGTCCAAAACTGTTGAGTACTTAAAAGAAATACTCATATGTATGAGTACCCCAACATAAACCTTAAATAAAAATACATAATCACAGGGATTGTACCGTGCACAATGTAATAATTGTACACTGCATGTGGTCCCCACTAGCCGCTGTTGTGACAATGCAGATGAATAGTTTGTCCACTTCAGTGGACAATGGTCGAGGAACTGTCCATTTTCATGTTCTATTGATAGAAATGGATAGTTGAAACCTACACATACAACTGTAGATGGTAGACTTCCTGTAATGACATATACTAATTACAAAATTTTATACAAAGCATATCGCTAAAAGTACATACCCCATTTACAATACAATACACATATATCTTTGCAGATATTTTACAATATATTTGTACAAAGCAACATATGGATGCTTCTCTCTCTCTCTCTCTCTCTCTCTCTCTCTCTCT